CCTTTGCTGTTCAGAAGCTTTTTATCTTGATGAAGTCCCAAAAGTTCATTTTTGCTTTTGTTTCACTAGCTTTTGGAGATGTATCTTGAAAGAAGTTGCTGTGGGTGATGTCAAAGAGGTTACTGCCTATGTTCTCCTCTAGAATTTTGATGGATTCCTGTCTCACATTGAGGCCTTTCATCCATTTTGAGTTTCTCTTTGTGTATGGTGTTAGAGAATGGTCAAGTTTCATTCTTCTGTATGTGGCTATCCAATTTTCCCAGCACCATTTATTGAAGAGACTTTTTTCCATTGTATGTTATTTCCTGCTTTGTCGAAGATTATTTGACCATAGAGTTGAGGGTCCATATCTGGGTTCTCTATTCTGTTCCATTGGTCTATAGGTCTGTTTTTGTGCCAGTACCATGCTGTCTTGGTGATCACTGCTTTGTAATATAGCTTGAAATCGGGCAACGTGATGCCTCCAGCTTTGTTTTTCTTTTTCAACATTTCCTTGGCGATTCGGGGTCTTTTTTGATTCCATCCAAATTTTAGGATTGTTTGTTCCAGCACTTTGAAAAATGTCATTGGAATTTTGATCGGGATGGCATTGAAGGTATAGATTGCTCTGGGTAGCATAGACATTTTAACAATGTTTATTCTTCCGATCCATGAGCATGGAATATTTTTCCATCTTTTTGTGTCTTCTTCAATTTCTTTCATGAGTGTTCTGTAGTTCCTAGAGTATAGATCCTTTACCTCTTTGGTTAGGTTTATTCCAAGGTATCTTATGGGTTTTGGTGCTATTGTAAATGGAATCGTTTCTCTAATTTCTCTTTCTACAGTTGCATTGTTAGTGGATAAGAAAGCAACTGATTTCTGTGCATTGATTTTGTATCCTGCCACATTACTGAATTGCTGTAGGAGTTCTAGTAATTTGGGGGTGGAATCTTTTGGGTTTTCCACATAAAGTATCATGTCATCTGCGAAAAGAGAAAGTTTGACTTCTTCTTTGCCAATTTGAATACCTTTTATTTCTTTTTGTTGTCTGATTGCTGTTGCTAGGACTTCTAGTGCTATGTTGAACAATAGTGGCGAGAGTGGGCATCCTTGACGTGTTCCTGATCTTAAGGGAAAGGCTCTCAGCTTTTCCCCATTGAGGATGATATTTGCTGTGGGTTTTTCATAGATGGATTTTATGAACATGAGGAATGTTCCCTCTATCCCTATACTCTGAAGAGTTTTAATCAGGAAAGGATGCTATAAATTTTGTCAGATGCTTTTTCTGCATCAATTGAGAGGACCGTATGGTTCTTCTCTCTCCTCTTATTAATGTGGTCTTTCACATTGATTGATTTGCGATTGATTAAACCACCCTTGCATCCTGGGGATAAATCCCACTTGGTCGTGATGGATGATCCTTTTAATGTATTGTTGGATCCTGTTAGCTAGGATTTTGTTGAGGATTTTAGAATCCATATTCATCAGGGATATCGGTCTGAAATTCTCCTTTTTGATGGGGTCTTTGCCTGGTTTGGGGATTAAGGTAATGCAGGCCTCATAGAATGAGCTTGGGAGTTTTCCTTCTGTTTCTATTTTTTGAAACAGCTTCAGTAGAATAGGTATTATTTCTTCTTTGAATGTTTGGTAGAATTCCCCAGGGAATCCACCAGGCCCTGGACTCTTGTTTTTTGGGAGGTTTTTGATCACTGCTTCAAACTCGTTACTGGTTATTGGCCTATTCAGGTTGTCAATTTCTTCCTGTTTCAGTCTTGGCAGCTTATAGGTTTCCAGGAAGGCCTCCATTTCATCCAGATTGCTCAGTTTATTGGCATATAGTTGTTGATAATAATTTCTAATAATTGTTTCTATTTCCTTGGTGTTAGTCGTGATCTCTCCCCTTTCATAATTTTATTAATTTGGGTCCTTTCTCTTTTCTTTTAGGTAAGTCTGGCCAGTGGTTTATCGATCTTATTAATTCTTTCAAAGAACCAACTTCTAGTTTCATTGATCTGATCTACTGTGTTTCTGGTTTCTAATTCATTGATCTCTGCTCTAATCTTAATTATTTCTCTTCTAATGTGTGGCTTAGGCATCGTTTGTTACTTTTTCTCTAGTTCTTTAAGGTGTAGAGTTAGTTGGTGAATTCGGGATTTTTCTATTTTTTTGAGTGAGGCTTGGATGGCTACGTATTTCCCCCTTAGCACCGCCTTTGCAGTATCCCATAGGTTTTGGACCCATGTGTTTTCATTCTCATTGATTTCCATGAATTGTTTAAGTTCTTCGATTTCCTGGTTGACCCAAACATTCTTGAGCAGAGTGGTCTTTAGCTTCCAAGTGTTTGAATTTCTGCCAAATTTTTTCTTGTGATTGAGTTCCAGTTTTAAAGCACTGTGGTCTGAGAATATGCAGGGAATAATCTCAATCTTTTGGTATCGGTTGAGACCTGATTTGTGACCCAGTATGTGGTCTGTTCTGGAGAAAGTTCCATGTGCGCTCGAGAAGAAAGAGTATTCTGTTGTTTTAGGGTGGAATGTTCTGTATATATCTATGAGGTCCATCTGGTCCAATGTATCATTCAAAGCTCTTGTTTCCTTGTTGATTTTCTGCTTAGATGATCTGTCCATTGCTGCGAGTGGAGTATTGAGGTCTCCTACAATTAACGTATTGTTATCAATATGACTCTTTATTTTGGTTAACAGTTGGCTTAAGTAGATGGCTGCTCCCATGTTGGGGGCATAGATATTTACAGTTGTTAGATCTTCTTGTTGGATAGACCCTTTAAGAATGATACAGTGTCTTTCTGTGTCTCTAACTACAGACTTTAGTTTAAAATCTAATTTGTCTGATACAAGAATTGCTACCCCAGCTTTCTTTTGAGGTCCGCTGGCATGGAAGATGGATCTCCATCCCTTCACTTTCAGTCTGGATGTATCTTTAGGTTCAAAATGAGTCTCTTGTAGACAGCATATGGATGGATCTTATCTTTTTATCCAATCTGCAACGCTGTGCTGTTTTATGGGAGCATTTAGGCCATTCACGTTGAGAGTGATTATTGAAAGATATGAATTAATTGTCATCATATTGCCTGTGAAGACGCTGTTTTTATAGATTGTCCCTGTAACTTTCTGTTGTATATCACTCTTGGGGTCTTTCTCCTTTTATAGAATCCCCCTTAATATTTCTTGCAGGGCCGGCTTAGTGGTCACATATTCTTTCAGTTTCTGCCAGTCTTGGAAGCTCTGCATCTCTCCATCCATTCTAAATGAAAGCCTTGCTGATAAAGTATTCTTGGCCGCATGTTCTTCTCGTTTAGTACGCTGAATATGTCTTGCCAGGCCTTTCTGGCTTGCCAGGTCTCTGTGGATAGGTCTGACGTTATTGTGATGTTCCTCTCTCTGTACATAAGGAATCTCTTGATCTTGGGAGGGGTCCTCTCTGCCTCTAGGACACGAATGTTTGTTTCATTCCCCAGATTAGGGAAGTTCTCAGCTACGATTTGCTCAAATATATCTTCTAGTCCTCTCTCTCTCTCCACTCCCTCCGGAATTCCAATAATTCTGACATTGGAACGCTTCATGGTGTCACTTATTTCTCTGATTCTATTTTCATGGATTCTGAGTTGTTTTTCCCTGGCTTCCTCTTTTCCCTTTTTATCTATTGTCTTCCAGGTCACTAATTCATTCTTCTGCCTCACCTACCCTAGCTGTTAGATTATCTAGATTAGATTGGATCTCATTGATAGCATTTTTAAGTTCTGCCAATCCAGCTTTCATTTCTGCCCTTAGAGACCCTATGTTGCCATTAATTGATTTCTTCATTCTAGCTATTGTCTTCACAATTGCTAGCCTGAATTCCGTCTCCAATATCTTGGTTATATCTGCATCCATTTGTAAATCTGCAGCATAAGTCATAATCTCTGAGTCTTTCCTGTTTTGGGGGTTCCTCCTCCTAGTCATTCTGTTGATGGGTGGTTAAAGGAATGTATAGAGTCCAAATTATTGACCAGAACCCTAGCAAGATGCACCTGTTTTCTAGGGACCTTAGGGCTGCTGGCCTCTTGTTCTCCCAGCCTGTCTTCTGGGGGAAGGGCCTGCCATGCTGTTATTCAGGCAACCCTATTTGGGCAGAGTTGCCCTGCCCCCCGTGGCAGGGGATGGGCTCAGTGGTAACCAGTTTTGGGGGCTTTTGTTCTCTGGCGGCTTTCCCTGGTGGCTTTCTGCGTCTCTTCCGCAAGTCAGAGCAGAAGAGACCATTTCCAACCCTCTGCCTCAGAGCAGAGAGATCGCAGTCTGTTCTTCAGTGAGCTCTCCAGGCCACACTATCTCCGTTCTGTCTGTGCTGCTATAAACTGCAGCGTCCTGGGTTGTGCACCCCTCCGCAGCACCCCAGTCCTGCCTCCAGGTCAGGGCACATCTCTGCCTTTTGTGCTTCTAAAACCGCCAGCTGCTCCCAGTTCACAGGCATGACCCTGCCGCTCCGGTTTCCGTTCTGGGGTCTGCCCTAAAGTCCTTTCCCCGCTGCTATCGGTCTGCGAGTCTGTGCCCGTCCCCAGCGCGGGAGGCTATTGTGCACCAGCGGTGTAGGATCCCCACGGCCAGGCTCCCTCCCGCTGCCATTTATCCTCCGATATCTGCCCACGGAACCACGGCTACCCACTTGGTACCTCGAAACCAACTGCCTGCAATATTCTGTTTGTAGAGATCCAGATCTTCTTACATCTCAGGCTGATTTCGTGGGTGCTCAGAGTGGTCTGGTAGATATCCAGCTCAATTCCGGGGACCAGTTGGAATAGGGTCCCCTTCTCTGCCATCTTTTCTCCCCAATACATAATCATTTTATTGAAGAGTACCTGTAGCATCATTATCATCAACATCCTTTGGTATTAAGTTGGTCCCATGTTGATATTTTCTACTTAATTAATTTGGGATGCTTCTTTATAAAGCCAAATATCTCTACTGTAGCTAAAAATATCTGGGCAACATTTCACGTACTTATAGCTGTATTTACCTCTCACCTAGGTTTATTGGGAAACTGGTGCTCAGATCACATCTCCTCATGATAAAGAAATTCTGAAATGTATCGAAGAATGTGTGGAACCTTGGAATGGTTCCTGGAATGATAATTTAGTGGATACCAGCCCACTGAAGAGAGATCCTCTGCAGGACATTTGCAGAAGATACATGGAAGATCTTAAAAAGATCTGTTTTCACAGGTATCCAAATGGGAATGTAGGGATAGCATTACCATATAATAAGATTAACAAATAAAGAAATAGAGATAAAAATGTGTTGTCTGTTCATTATATTAAAAGTATAGCTAAATAGTACCAATCACCATAGTTAAAAGGTGGAAATAACCCAAATATCCATCAACTGATGAATGGATAAATAAACTGTGGTATATCTATACAATGAAATATTATTCAGCTGTAAAAAGAAATACTGATACGTACCACAACATGGATAAACTTTGGAAACATGCTAAGTGAAAGAAGCCAGTTACAAAGGACCACATATTGTATGATTCCATTTATATAAAATGTCCAGAGAAGGCAAATCTACAGAGACAGAAACAGACAGAGGCTAGTGATTGCCTATGGCTAGGAGGAATGGGAGTGTTAGGGGGTGGCAGCTCTGGGGTAGAGTTTCTTTTGGGGATAATGAGAATGTTCTAAAATTGATTATAGTATAATGGTTGAATAACTCCATGAATATAGTGAAAGCCACTGAGCTGTACACTTTAAATAGATGAATTGTAGAGTATATTAAGTACTTCTTAATAAAGCTGTTAAAAAATTATAGCTAAATATATGTATTCTCTATATGAGATTAGGAAATTTCCTCTAAAATCTGATTTTGCCTTATTTCCATATTTTCATAACTGTTCCATAAATAGCTAACACTATTGCTAGAAAGCCATTGGCTTGCTATCTGTTCTTCATCCTAAAAAATAAATTTAACTTCTTCTCTATAGCTTATTTTAATTATATCACAAGCACCAAGTTTTATGATATCGATTGAATAATTCTTTTCCTTTACAGGGAATTAAACTCAAAGACCACCTTGAAATTTGTACATACATCTTTCCATGGGGTTGGACACGACTATGTGCAGTTGGCTTTCCAAGTATTTGGTTTTAAGCCTCCAATTCCAGTACCAGAACAAAAAGATCCTGATCCAGACTTTTCTACTGTTAAATGCCCAAATCCTGAAGAAGGAGAATCTGTGCTGGTATTTTTTTTTTCTCTATTTACATTATTATTAGTGTATTAAACTTCATCAAATAGAAGTCATTGACAACTCAGAGATTACTTACAAAGACAGAAACCACCTTCGTGGACATCATTTAAATTCTATTGGAACCATATATCCTGTTATATTTGAAATCTCTGTGATGGATATCCCTACTTCTAGGCTTATTTTAAATTTAGTCAAACTGTATTCCTTCTCAAATTTATGTCAACTAACATAGTGCCTACATGTAGGATTATTAACATTGAATTTAACCTCTGGAATACAATCTGGTGATTTGGCTCACTGTTTCAGGAACTTTCTTTGAGACTGGCAGAGAAAGAAAAAGCCCGCGTAGTGCTAGCCACAGATCCTGATGCAGACCGGCTGGCAGTGGCAGAGCTTCAGGAGAAGTAAGTAAAGCTTCAACTTCGAAAAAGAGTTTTTGATTTTAAGTCTTACAGGCTCATTGGAAATAATAAAAAAATAAGAAAATAAATTTCCTGTAAGTCCACTATCCAAAAATAACCCCTAGGTTGATATTTTGATATTTCCTTAAGATATATTTGTTTTTATAAAATTGTTATGCTACATATATTTTTATATTTTGATTGTTTTCCACTTAATATTGTACCATGAGCATTTTTTTCAGTCCTTAAATATTGTTTAAAATATAATTTTTAAAAAGGCATGATAGCCCAACAGATTGCTTTATCAATATAATTGTTTTCTAATCTTGGTCCTTTGGATTGCTATGTATTTTTGCCCTTATAATGTTGTGACAAATGTCCTTATATAGACAGGACATCATATTATAAGTTTTCTCTCATTAAGTAGGAGAACAATAGTTACAGTGTAATAATTTTTCAACAGACATTGTTGCCATTTCTACCCTAAGTTCACTGCTGGTGAGCTAGAAATAATCCTAAATGTTTTCTCAAGAATCTCATATAATAGCTTTTGGATTTTCCTATGTGAGGGATGGTAATTTATACGTCTTAGGGTCAAGAAATTTTAATGAGAAGTTACAAAAGTCTTGACTTGAATCTTCATTCTCTCTACAGTGGTCATTGGAAAGTTTTCACAGGGAATGAATTGGCAGCTTTGTTTGGGTGGTGGATGTTTGCTTGCTGGAAGAAAAATACATCAAGAAATGCTGATGTGAAGAACGTTTATATGTTAGCCACCACAGTCTCTTCCAAAATTTTGAAGGCAATTGCACTCAAAGAAGGATTTCATTTTGAAGTAAGAACAGAGAAAATCTGCGTGCTACTTTTCTCAATCAGTTTCTAAGTGTATACATTAAAGCCATCTCCCCATCAAAACTGACTTGTATTGATTTGATTTATAATCCCCCCCCCCTTTTTTTTAAATTCTGTTAACACTTGCTTAATCTTTTGACAGTTTAGACACCTTGAGCCAAGTCCATCCATCCAGTATGTGAATTTCTGGAACTGAGATAAGATATTCTTTAAAAATTGCATTAATGCTTATTATTCCATACAATAAAATCTGGTTTTCATACTGAGAAAATCTGGCTCCTAGTGACCTCATCAGTAACAGAAACTCCATTCCAAAAAATTGTAGGTATCATCAACCATTGTTTAAGCTCTTCAGGTTCAGTCTTAAGAAACTTAGTCTTCTAAATTGTAAATTAAGACCCAATGATTCTACATCCAAAAAACAAATAATAACTCTCTCTCAGCACAGATCATTAACTTTCGTGAGCCTTAGAGAGTTAAGCTGACAATTTTTATAGCTTCTGGGATTGATGCCAATTAAATTGCTTTTCCTCCGCCATCTTTGTCAAATATCAGTGCAAATGTCACACCTGTGGGCATTTTTCTTGAGCCACAGCCAAGCTACAGGTCTTAACACTAATTGGCTGAATAAAAGAAAATTATACCTAATTTAATGAAATAGAACTTTCAATCTCAGGCTTTAAAAAGAATACAAATAGCAGGGTGCCTGGGTGGCTCAGTCCATTAATTGTCCAACTCTTGATCTCAGCTCAGGTCTCAATCTCACGGTTGTGAGTTCAAGCCCTGCATTGGGCTCCACACCCAGCACAGAGCCTACTTTAAAAAAACAACAACAACAAATTGCTAAAGAGAAAAAATTGAAAATTTATTCAAGATTTATTCAAGATTCTGAATTATGGTAATGTTAACATTTTCCTCAATATCTATGGCAAAAAAAAAAAAAAAGTATAAAGAGCACAAAAGAGAAAAAAGAACATGATTGTAAAGACTAGTATTATAAATTTGCTTCCTTGTGTTTGTTGTTGGTTCTGGGGAGGGTAGCAGAGGTTTTGGTTTTTATTTTTTCCCACTGAGGAAGTAGAGAGGTGAATTGGGAATCCTAAGTTAGTAATGGTGAGCTCCAGAATCAGTGTCTATTACATGCTCTTTCTGTTGACTCTAAAACAGTTCATGTCTTTAAAGTGAATAGTAGCTCATCTGATGAAAAGTCCTCGAATCCAATTATGAAAGAAGGGCTTAGTAACTTCCTTGGTTTTAATTAGTCTATGGTATTGTGGTAAGGAACACTTGATTCAAGCATACACTGTGATAATGTTGAAAGTACATCATTAAAAAGCTTTATGGCCTTTGATTACTCGGGGGACTAAATCACAACCTTCATAGGTTCTCTTATATTAGTACTTATAATACAGCCCAAATGACAGTTTCTGAGAAGCAGTGTAAGTGAATCCTGGCTCCATCTCATACATACAGCATAGTCTTGGGCAAATTCACTGAGGCTCTGAGCCTCTGTTTCAGCAACAGAGTTTTTGTAAACAAACAAAAAAACAATGATATAAAGTGCCTGTTAACGGTGCTTGATAAATAGTAGATGATCATAATATATGTGTGTATTTATGTTACTTTGTGACTATATGATCACCACTTACAAATGTTGGATTATATTTGGTGTAAATCACCTATTTCTGTGCTCAATAAATAGTAGGTTATCAGTCGTGGCAATATGAATCCAAGCACTTCTGGCTATGTGCTCACCATGATATAAATCTGTGTGGACCAAAAAACGTAAGAGAAGATCACTATGAGAGTGTTACGTGCATTTAGTGACAGGCCTCTCTCTAGATATATTTATGAGGAGTCATTTAACTAGAGTGGCCTTCTCTGCATTTCAGGAAACATTACCAGGTTTTAAATGGATTGGAAGTAGGATAAAAGACCTCCTGGAAAATGGGAAAGAAGTCCTTTTTGCATTTGAGGAGTCGATTGGTATGTAGTAAATATTGAAATCTTTGAAATTTGATGAGAGCATTTTTTAAAATGTAGTATGTTTATGAAGAAGAATTTTTGTCTTCTGGTTTTGCATTTTGAGTTGTAAAAACCACAGAGAACTCAGAAATATGCAGATGCATTTTTCATGGTTGGTGGGGGGGGAAGACTCTTAAAAGTCCCCTAAGTACCTTTAGTATCACTGGGTTTCATCTATTAGTAGGCTCTTAAATTCATTGGTTCTTCTGAAGAAATGTAAACTATTGAAATTATTATAGGCTTAAGTTTTCCCCTTTTTAAATAACGTGTGGCTCAGTCAGTTAAGCGTCTGCCTTCGGCTCAGGTCATGATCCCAGCGTCCTGGGATCAAGCCCCATCTCCATCCGGGCTCCCTGCTCAGTGTGGAGCAGGGAGCCTACCCACTGAGCAGGGAGCCTGCTTTTCCCTCTCCCTCTGCTCCTCCTGCTCCTGCACGCCCTCTCTCTGTCTCAAATAAACAAAAATCTTAAAAAATAAAATAAAAATAAAAATGTGTTTTAATTCTTAGGTTTTCTGTGTGGCACTTCGGTTTTGGATAAAGATGGGGTGAGTGCAGCCGTAGTTGCTGCCGAGATGGCAGCTTACCTGGAAACCATGAATATAACATTGAAACAGCAACTGATTAAGGTTTATGAAAAGTAAGTTCTATTATTATGAATTTCTCATTTCAATTGCCAAATTTCTCATTTTTTTTGGTCCTACTTTTAGCTTTCTAAATTTGGTTTTGAAAATAGTCAGTCCTTTCTAAAAAGTTCAAAAACTGAACTAAAGACTGCCACTTTCTACATAGTACTATAATAGGCTTATCTTTATTATATACTTCTCTGAAGAGTTATCTGAAATCTGATTTTAACACTTTAAATCTTTGTGCAGATATGGTTATCATATTTCAAAAACTTCATATTTCTTGTGTTATGATCCAAGTACCATCAAAAGTATATTTGAAAGGCTTCGCAATTTTGATTCTCCAAAAGAATATCCAAAATTCTGTGGGACATTTGCTATATTGCACATACGGGACGTTACCACTGGCTATGATAACAGCCAGCCTAATAAGAAATCAGTAAGTACCTCTTTTTTTTTTTTAAGTTTTTTAACAATTTGTATTACTTTGTACTATAGTAAAATAGTGGAAGTTCAAGCCTGTGAATGTCTTTGAAACTAGGATCCATTGCTTTTCTCCAGAGCAGTTATAATCCCACTGACAGGCTCCCTGCCTCTGATCCTGTCCTCCTCTCTCCCCAAGTGTATGCTCCTCCCTGGAGGGTGGGGAGGTGGGAAAGAGAATTAGACAAAAAGAGAAAGGAACAGAGAGAGGGAGAATGTGTGATGTTGAAAATAAAGTCTGAAAGCCTTTTGTTTCAAAGCTCACCGTTACACCTTTCTATTTGCAACTTCCCTTTTCAACCTTAGTCCCTATACCTGCATCCAAATAGAGCAACTTACAGTTTCTTATATGCGTACATTTTTATTAAAAATTTCTGTATTTGGGGACACCTGGGTGGCTCAGTCAATTAGTTGTCTGCCTTCGGCTCAGGCCATGATCTTAGGGTCCTGGGATTGAAACCCAAGTCAAGTCGGGCTCCCGGCTCAGCTGGGAATCTGCTTCTCCCTCTTTCCCCCTGCCCCTCCCCTGCCTCGTGCTCCCTCTGGCTATCTGTCTCTCTCAGATAAATAAATAAAATCTTTAAAGAAATAAAAATATAAATTTCTGTATTTTTGCTCAAGCTATTTCCCCAGTCTGCCTCTCCTTCCTACTGCTGCAGGTCCACATCTTAGGGGTTATTTAAGACTTCAGGCAGATGTCACCTCCTCCACATACCCTCCAGGTCCCATAATTAAATATCTTCCTCCTGAGGTTTCATTATATATTGGGCCTGACTCTTGTCATTTATCACTTTCTATTTTATGTTATCATTGTGTTGTGCATGGCAGATCCGTTTCTGACATACCTCCATGCCTGTCAAAGCTCCTGCCTACATGGTAGGGGCTCAACAAATATTTAAATGCCATAAATTGCTGATCATATCTATTTGGTTATTGTTAGGATTATTAGCCTTAATTTCCATTTATAATATCCTGATGTTGTCTCTGATGCTAGGGGCATAATATATTTTGGGAAATCTGCAATTTCTTGCGTAGAATAGAACTCATATTCCTTTTGTGTCTATTCATCTAATCAACAAATATTCGTTCCCAGTTACTGGTATCTATCTTTCTTTTTTTTTTTTTTAATTTTATTTATTTATTTGAGAGAGAGAGAATGAGAGAGAGCAAGCACATGAGAGGGGGGAGGGTCAGAGGGAGAAGCAGACTCCCTGCCGAGCAGGGAGCCCGATGCGGGACTCGATCCAGGGACTCCAGGATCATGACCTGAACCGAAGGCAGTCGCTTAACCAACTGAGCCACCCAGGCGCCCGGTATCTATCTTTCTATCTTTGTAAACTACTTGAAGAGAAGAACCAAATTTTTTCTTCTTTTTATTTCACTAATGTTGTTGTGCTCAGAGTAGTTCTTGGTGTGATGCTTTTTTCCTATTAACTCCCTTTAAGGTTTATGATAGTCCTTATTCAAAGTACTTTTCTATCTGTTCTCCATAGATGCTTACAACAATTTTGTAAGGCAGGTACTGTAGACATTGTTAATTTACCCCAGCAGTCACATAGTAAGTGTCAAAGACCTCCTGAGTGTTTTCTTCACACTCCAGATTGCTTTCTGTGTGTTCAGCAGGCATTTATCAAAGCCCTTCGGTGCTACAGATATTGGCACACTGGAGAAGGAAAAATGAGAAAGGCACTGTTTCTGCACTCAGGAGTCTAGTGGGGAAATGGAAGTAAGCAAGGATTACTTTACAAAATGATAAAAGGACCAGGGGGTGCATAAGATGCCATGGAAGAGCACAGATGCTCAGATCTGGAAGGCTTACAGAAGACATTCTAAGGGACTTCTGTGAGCTGAGTATGAGTAATAGGAGTTATCCAGATGGAGGAGGAACGGTGAGTATTCAGGCAAAGGGAGCAGCAAGTGCTAGGTCTGGAGGTAGGAAGGCATATTCTCCTCCAAAGAACCACAAAGAGTCCTCTACAACTGTAGTGTGGAGTTCAAGGAGGAATGGCACACACGGTGGGTTAGAGAGAGGCAAACTCCCAGGCGGGAAGGTCAGTTAGTACTCTATTTCAGTAATAAGATGAGACATGATGGGAGCCTGAATTAAATACAGTAGCAGTAGTGATGGAGAGAGTTGGACAAAGTTGAGTTAAATAAAGACTAGAATAGACAGGACTTGCTAGCTGATGGTCTGTGAGTGAAAAAGAGGGGAGCAAGGTCTCTGTCTTAAGCAGCTGGTGTATGGTAGCACCACTAACTGAGGGAGGGGTGTCAAGAAGAGGACCAGGCTCTGGACACCTGATGAAAGGCACCACCTCTGTCCTATACAACCACCACAGTTCCCCCAAGATACCTTCACAGACTGACCTGTGGTCCAGGAAGGGTACTAGTATGAATCCGTATGTTCAACGTCAGTAAAGCTTCATTTCCTTTTTTAACTTTTAGGTAAAAAATATAAAATTTTTTTGTACCCCAGTGGATTATTTTGCCTGTCCTCTAGGACACGTGCACTCTGCTTTGGAGATGATCGATAAACTGTCTATGAAAGTGCTTCGGGGCACCTGGGTGGCTCAGATGGTTAAGCGTCTGCCTTCGGCTCAGGTCATGATCCCAGGGTCCTGGGATCGAGTCCCACATCGGGCTCCCTGCTCCTTGGGAGCCTGCTTCTCCCTCTGCTTCTCTCTCTGTCTCTCATGAATGAATAAATAAAATCTTTAAAAAAAAAAAAAAAGAGCTTCGAACTTATAAAGCCCTTTGCAAATGTAGAGGCAGTTTGGACTTTGATACAGACAGACCTGGCTTCAACTTCTTGCTCTGCCACTTTAGCTGATTACCTTGACCAGGTCATTTACTCTTTTTGAGCCATGTCAGTAAATTGGCAGTAATATTTACCCTGGAAGATTGTTGCTGAGGCCTGGAGATCGTGTGTGTAAGGTATATAACCCAATGCCTGTATGATTATAAATGTTCAGTAAATGGCATATTTATGAATTATTATGCATGTAATCTTTTGTATTTTATAATTTTCAAAAAATATTTTTAATTGTAAAAAACACATAACAAAATTTACCACTGTAACTATTTTTGAACATGCAGTCCATAGTGTTAACTCTGTCTACCTTGTTGTGCAGGAGATGTCCAGAACTTTTTCATCTTGCTGAACTGAAACTCCATACCCATTAAACAACTCCCCATTTCCCCCTTACCCCACCCCTTGCCAATGGCCTTCGACTTCCTGTTTCTATGAATATGACTCCTTTAGGTACCTCACATAAGTAGAGTATATTTTACAGCTCTTGAAAATGAAAAAAGGTACCGAGTGTAACTCAGCTGTTGTTCACCTTGTGCATAGGTGCTGCCTGTAAGTAAAAACAGCCAAATGATTACATTCACTTTTCAAAATGGCTGTGTCGCTACTCTTCGGACAAGTGGGACAGAACCAAAGATAAAGTATTATGCAGAGATGTGTGCATCCCCCGAGCAGAGGTAAGAATTGGCTTTTTAAATATATATACCCATATATATTTAGATTTATATATTTATATATATATATATAGGCTCTATTGAGATAAAATTCACATACTATACAGTTTACCCATTCAAAGCATACAGTTCAGTGGTTTTTAGTATATTCAGAGTTGTGCAAAGATCACTACAATCAAAATTTTTTTTATTAGAACAATTTTAGAACATTTTCATCCCCTCAGAAAGAAGTCCCATACCCATTAGCAGTCACTTGCCATCTTAGCCCTAGGGAACTACCAATCTACTATCTGTCATTATTGACTTGCTTATTGTGGACATTTCATATAAATGGAATCATACAACATATGGCCCTTTGTGACTGGCATCTTCTACTTTAATGTTTTCAAGGTTCATCCGTGTTGTAGCATGAATCACTTTTTTTTTTTTAATTGTTTTCTTGGCCTAATACTATTCTGTTGTATAGATATAACACTTTTTTTTTATCCTTTTATCAGGTGGTGGACATTTGGGTTATTTCCACATTTTTAATATTACAAATAACCGTGCTACAAATGTTTGTGCACAAGTTTTTGTGTGGACATGTTTTCATTTCACTTGGGTCTATATGTAGGTGGAGAATTGCTGGGTCACATGGTAGTTCTATGTTTAACTTTCGGAGGAACTGCCAGACTATTTTCCAAAGCAGCTGGACCATTTGGGAATTGAATTTTAAAATTTTAGTGAATTTTTATTACTGGGAAGGTTTTGTGAGCTTTAACTATTAAATGATGAACATAAAGAAATGATCAACAAATAATTTCTTTATTTCTTACATCTATTGTGATTTGACTTAATCTGCCCAATTTATTTCCTTTTAAGAGTATGAATTGCTGGGCGCCTGGGTGGCTCAGTTGGTTAAGCGACTGCCTTCGGCTCAGGTCATGATCCTGGAGTCCCGGGATCGAGTCCCGCATCGGGCTCCCTGCTCGGTGGGGAGTCTGCTTCTCCCTCTGACCCTCCCCCCTCTCATGCTATCTCATTCTCTCTCTCAAATGAATAAATAAAATCTTAAAAAAAAAAAAAAAGAGTATGAATTGCCACTAAATTGACTTTAATAAACATATTCAAAGGCTATTTAAACTCATTAAAAGAGTAGTACCTTCTATAATGTCACTGATCAGAATATTTTGGGGAAAGAGATTTTTTAGAATTGCCTTCCGAGTCCAAGGTACATTATTTTGTATGTCCCTAAATCTTTGCATTTAAGAGTAGATTTTATTCCCTTTGGGGGCAAAAAAAGACATCCTGAAGTCATTCAGAGTAGAGTTTAAAGGAAACCAAACTGGGTAATGCTATATTTGATTAAAAATAAAGGATGATTATTAAGGTAATAACAAATGGCCATGAAGGCAGTTGAAAGAGGCTTTCCTAGAAATGTTTTGGGCAGCAGCAGTGATGCCTTGAAGCAAATACCTTGTTGTAATGTCCATTTATTTTTTAAGCATCTTATTTCTTTTAGTCCCAACCCTCCTCTGTATCTGAGTCATGCCATATCATCCCATAATATCTATGGGTGTCCTTCAAAGTATTTCAGGAAGCCATTTTAGCATAATACCTGGTATTGGTGTTCTGGACCATTAAATTGCCTGACCCAGGAGAAAAATCTGTAGATACACCAAAACTCATCCATGTATCGTGTACCAAGGAACTCCCTTTAATGCGGTTCAACTTCAGTTTGTGATCATGGTTGTTTTCTTGGGTGTGATTTTTTCCCCACCTTTGGTCTTGTTTTGTTTTAACTGAGTGAACTTCTTTTTGGTTTACAAAGTGTTTAATCGTCCCCCTTTTAAAATTGTAACAACTTAAACAAAATTTAAAGTGATGAAAATCAAGACTTTCGAAACTCTTCATCTTTCTCTTCAGCGACACTGCCTTCCTAGAAGAGGAATTGAGGAAACTCATTGAAGCTCTGATTGAGAATTTTCTTGAGCCCAGTAAAAATGGACTGATCTGGCGTTCTACGCCATGACTTTGCACTGGCACGTAGAACAGAACAACCCGGAACTCCATGCGTTGAAGTCACGTTAGCGTTCTCTATCTCATCTGGCCAAGTATCTTTGTACTTTGATTTGCTTTCCTTTGGTGGGCTGACGCAACAAACTGTATAAATTCGAAAGGAAATGGTCTTGAGAGAAAGGATTCAAATTTTTTCATAATCTTGAACAAATGTCATTGCGTTGAAAGTATTCTCGTAACGCGTTGTTCTTCCTTTAACAGAAAAAAAAAAACCAATACATAAGTGAGTTTTCTTATTGAAGTGTGATTAAGCTTAGTTCCATTATTGTAATTGTGTATAGCACGGGTTTTTTTTTAAAAGGCAGATAAATGTTATATAGTTATAGAGTTAGTTAAGGAAATTAGTCTATAAAATTGACAAGAAAATGGCATTGCTGCCAGCATAGTGTGGGAAAGTGTCATTATTACGTCATAGGTATTAACTTAAAAAAGTGTAGAGTATTTGAAATCGGGTATTAGCATTTCTAGCTTAGAACAGATGTTACCATATGTGGTTTCAGGTGCTCTTGGTGCAGTGTAAATTTATTGTATGTATTTAAAATTCTGACGTTTACCAAACATGAAACAATAGTGGCCATGCTCCTAGTGGCTTCGTTCTTGTCAGATTTCTTGGTGCCTTCTCAGGGTATGGTGTGAATTAAAACAGTGTTCCTGCATGGAATATAATTTAGTCAGTTAATTTTCAGACAGTTATTTCAGACCAAACTACGTAGGTGCTTCCCCTCTATATCAGATCAGTTTGCCCCTTTAAAAATCTTATGAATGTAAATAAAAATCCTAATAAAATCAGACTCAATGTAACTGTGCTTAAGGATCTTCTTGTAAGAATTAATGTCAATAATACAGCCTTCAGGTAAAGAAAAAATCTGAACTGAGAAAGGAGCTCTGAATTTATTTAAAAATCTGACTTTGGAATTACATTTTTATAAGTAGATTTATTCCTTTATCAGATGAAGTAATGCTAATTTTACTAAGAAATAAAATATCCAGATTTTAGGTGTTATCTAACACTAAAACTCCATATTTTAAAACTAAAGTCCAGTTTATTCTAATATCATGCTGGCTACTGTAGAATTTCTGATCCCAAGAGTATTTCTCTTTCAATGTGGAAAAAAAATTTTGCATATTTTTTTCAAGTAGGCTCCATGCCCAGCGTAGAGCCCAGTGTGGGGCTTGAACTCATGACCCTGAGATCAAGACCTGAACTGAGACCAAGAGTTGGAGGCTTAACTGACTGAGCCACTCAGGTGCCCCTCAGTGTGGAAAAAAATTTTGGAAGGTCACTTTTGGTTGATTCTCCAGTCTTCTAAAAAAGTCTTACGAGAGAAGCACTAATTTAATTTAATTTAATGTTATTTTATTTTCTTAAAGTGTATCCTGTCCTATACAACTCACAGAATACTTAAACACATGTGGTATAGTTAAGAGGTAACAATAACAAGACCTTGGGTGTAATTGTACTAAACAAATTGCTAATGGGACATAACTGTCATTGGAGTGTTTATTTCCTAAATAATAATAATAATATAACATTTAAACTGATTAGACTATTTAGTAAATAATGGTATGGTTTGTTGCAGCTCTATCAGCTAACATTTGGTTGAACCCATATAGTGCAAATATAATTTTCAAATTATTGTATTGCCACTATAGTTAATTTATTACTTCCTTTCCTATAGCTAGATCTCATATGACTGCAGATAATAGACAGCTAGCTAAGTGTAGAGCACTATACTTCTGAAGGACTTTGTTTTCAAAGGCTTTGTACTGAAGAAGAAATGTGCAGACTTTTTTGTTTTATTTGCTTTTAGGAATGTAGAATGTAATTTAGGAGATGGCCTATATTCTACCAACTAGTATGAACAATGCTATATATATGAAAAATATGTATATTTGGCTTAGTATCTGTGTTTCAGTGACCGAAGAACAAAGTGGAGCTAAAATGATATGCTAACCCATTCATAATCACTAAAGCCATGTCATGATTGTCATTCTATTATAAAGAGAACAGTTTTGAGTGCTTTAATATAATACAACATTTAATATAATATGTCATCTTAATCAAGGTGAAAAGTTATTAAAGCTTAGATTCTTATCTCAAAAATGTAAAAATCCAAGGTTAAAATCAACAAAATGTTACAAATGTTCCCGATGTGTATAGATTAAGGGAATTATTTGGTTCTAGCCAAGCTCTCAAGTCTATATTAGCATGATATTGAACATGAACTTGACATAGTGGTGTACAGTTGCCTAACGGTAAATTTAGTAACCCAAGCCGACCAGGAAAGACAAGAGTGCTGGACTGTAGGTCTCAGCCTTGGGCTCTACATTGTTTAGCTTTTTCTTTATGAACAATATCATGAAAATGAGCCCATTCTCATTGAGTGTGTAGATTAAAACTGGGCTTTTCTAGAGTTTTGGGGAAAAGGAATGAACTAGTGGGCAAGATCAAAGCATATACTGAAGATAAACAGTAGAAATAAAGAAACAATAAGAAGGGTCAATAAGATGGCACAGGAAATGCTTCTTGTGAAGGGCGAACTTACCTCTCTAAAAGTAGGGACTAAACTGGCTGTGGGCAAGTTGTTTACCCATGTGCATTTGTTATAATGATGAGCAGATAGATGGTGAAACTTTTGTTTTCCTTTATTAGCAACCACTAAAAAGAGACCAAGTTGTAGGAGGTGAGAAAAAGTACCCCTCTTACTGATTCAATTCCTGCCAGGAGCTGGGGAGGAGAGGACATAGCAGAAATAAAAAGGAATACAACAGAGATTGTGAGAAAAAGTTCAAAGAATTCAGATCATTTAACTCTGGAGGGGAGAAAGCTATTGAGATAATTTAATAAGTCTTAAGTTATTAGTTGAATCTTTTATTAAAGGACTCAAAGTAAGAAGTAATATGACAAACTGTTCTCTATCTTCAGTGAGGACAGAAAAAAGAATAAGGACCTTTTCAAAAAAACTAAATGACAGATTTAAATATTAAGGGATATACTAAATGTCTTTTAAAGGTTTCTTCCGAAATTTTTTTTAAAACTCAGGTTGGAACAATGATGATGTCATAGAGAGCACTGAAAGTTACATTTGAGTTTCGCTCCCTATCTAGAAGAATTTAGCTCACAAGAGAGTTTTTGTATATGTTGAGTAGTAGATGCATGAGTGCAGTCTTTATTCACTGCACAGAGACCTGCTTAGATATTATTTTTAGTTTAACCTGGCAAATTAAGTGAGACTTGAACACCATTTTGTTCATCTTGAAGAATGTATAGCATTATAGGATATTTGAGGGTTTTGTTTTTTGCATGTAGTAACTTCAGCAGACAGAGAGGTTCTAAGAGATTGGATACTTTAGGAATATCCTTATATAGAAAATAGGCCTCTTGTCTCTTTAGGAGGTTGCTTCTGGAGTGGATGCAACAGAGATATTAGCTGGAGTTTAATGGAGAAATTGTTCTATGAACTGCTGCTACTGGTATTTCTTTCCAGTGTTTTCCACTGATGTTTGTGATGCTTGAAAAATCCAAATTTTGCTTGGATAAATTTATTTTATGCCTTTTCCTCTCTACCTCCCTCCTTCCCTAGGTGCCCTCCTACATTTTGTTACTGTGAAAAGCTATCGCTCTATTACCTCACTGATAAGAAATCTTAACTGTATTCATTCAGAATGCTTTAAACTGATTCATAAACTATGTTTGGATTTTTTTTGACTTTTGATTATTTTGTCATTATTGTGAGAATATTTAAGACATTGTAAGAAGTAATTTTAAATCTATTTCATAGCCTTTTTGGGTCTGTCTGGATACTACTATATGCTAATTTATTATGGCCTTTTATAATTCACTTGTTTTTCTGAGATTGCTCTAGAAATTGATGAGGAAAGAGTCCTACCAATCAAAATGGATGGTCAATTGATCTCACATTTTATTTCAGGTGTCCTTGTACTTGGGGCATCCAAAGCACAAAATCTGAAGAAATCTTTTTTCACATTTGTCCCCCAGAACATCTTACCATAAGCCATAAGAAGTCCAGGTGGAAAGAAGAGAACCTTTCATTGCAGGACTTGACACGGCATGACCTTTTTTAGTTCCAGTTGAAAAAACCAAATTAGGTTTTACCATTGGTTACTTTAAAATATTAACCATACTGTTACATTCATTAAACCATCTTTTTTCTTTGTTATTTCAAGACTATATACCTTAAAAAGAGGACATACAGGGGCGCCTGGGTGGCTCAGTCGGTTGAGCGACTGCCTTCGGCTCAGGTCATGATCCTGGAGTCCCGGGATTGAGTCCCGCATCGGGCTCCCTGCTCAGCGGGGAGTCTGCTTCTCCCTCTGACCTTCCTCCCTCTCGTGCTCTCTGTCTCTCATTCTCTCTCGCAAATAAATAAATAAAATCTTAAAAAAAAAAAAAAAAGAGAACATACAAGAATGAGTAAAGTGACCAAGATAAGGGCACATGGCATGCTAAAGTTTGCTTCTCAAATTTTTTTTTTTTTTTAAGATTTTATTTATTTGACAGAGACACAGCGAGAGAGGGAACACAAGCAGGGAGAGTGGGAGAGGGAGAAGCAGGCTTCCCGCCGAGCAGGGAGCCCGATGTGGGACTCAATCCCAGGACTCTGGGATCATGACCTGAGCCGAAGGCAGACGCTTAACGTCTGAGCCACCCAGGCGCCCTGCTTCTCAAATTTTTCCACCAGCATAACCCTAAAGCAGAGGAACATGATGAATATGTGGGAGAAGGGACCCAACGCAAACTCAGAAGCAGTCTACTGCTCATGAAATTTCGTGTTCTGTCATTAAAATGTAAGCTGAATTTTGCATACCCCATAATAAAACTGTTTCGATGTAAAAATGATTCCTTCAGTCCTCACAGAAGCTGGTGCTGCTGGAAAGGAGCACCGTGTTGATCATAGGGCCTCTCGATGGTCTCCCCCTCCCCTCCTCAATTGCTGCATCTGCCTGGTGGTATACACACCGACCTTAACGTGAGAAATAGAAACATAGAACATATCTAACCTGTTCCCTGCATTTTAAAAGCTGAACTTTGAAAGTATTACTGCCAAATTAAACTGACCTGAAACAGTTATGTTATCACCGAACCTCATTGTCAGAGGTGTTGGCCGGTTTGTTTTCATTAATTCATTGGCATTCCTTGACTGAGATGGAGCATCTGACTATCAGCTCCCTGAGAGCAGAGATCATGTTTTATTATTTTTCATATCCTCCCACCCTCCCCCAAGTATAGTACCTATTATAGAATGCTTCGTTGGTGATAAAAGGAATTAGGGGATTGTATTTTAAAGCAGCTAATAGTTTAAGAAACAATCAAAAATGTTAATTTTCTGGTTCAGTTTTTTTAAACAATTCTCATTACTGAAATTTATAACAAATCATCTTCATTAAGCACGCACACCCTTAAATACTCAGTTTCTTTTGAGAGAGCAGAGCATATTTCCTATTTGGAAAATTATGTATAATGCCTAGTATTTTACACTCAAAGCAAGGTGTTGGCCAAGTAGGCCAAGAAAGTATCTATGTAGACTTAATATCACTGGGTATAGGTGCCAGTTTGAGCCTCCTAGTGCTACCTTCCAAGTGAGTCACAACTAACTTGATACGATTTGATGTATTTTTGTCCACTGTTATGATTCATCATATATCTCATAAGAGGCACTCAAGCAAGAGTCTGTGTCTGTATATATTGTAAGGCCTTCTTGTTTTAGGCTAAAATAAACTTTGTATACGTCACTGAATATGCCAGATAAAATATATGCAGTTAAGAATGAATTATTTTTCTGACTGTGTAGCAGTAGATCAAAAATGTGCTCTTGTTTTACCAGTTTTTTGTCAACATTTCTCTTTTTTTTTTCTGATGAAAATGCCAGGGTGTATCATAAGTACCGCCTGTGAGAATTTGCACTTGAAGTGTTGGTGTGTGAATTTCTTGTGCTTTTAGCCAAATGAAGTGTTATCAGTAATAAACAGCCTCTTTATAGCCATGAGTTTCTGTGTAATTTTTATTATCTTAGTTACTGTGTGGCTCATAAAGTTTGCTATCCAAGTAGAACATGTTTTTGAAATATATGCATGGTATACCTAGAATCTACTTTGAGCCTAAATGAACATTCTAGCTTATTATTTGGTAAATATGTATTGATTCGTTCGTCAGAAGTCCCAGAAGAAGGGGCACCTGGGTGGCTCAGTCGGTTAGGTATCTGCCTTTGGCTCAGGTCATGATCCCAGGGTCCTGGGATCGAGTCCCACATCGGGCTCTGTTCTGCAGAGAGTCTGCCCCTCCTTCTCCCTCTGCCCCTCCCCCTTGTTCATGCTCTCTCTCTTGCTCACTCTCTCAAATAAAAAATTAAAAAAAGAAGTCCCAGAATATTAATATTAAAGTCCTTTCCATCTTATTTTTGCCTTTCATTCCTTCAGTTGACTTAATTTGACTTAATTTGTCTACCCATGTTAGCTAACATAATAAAAAGTTAAATATATATATTATAATAAAAATCTGTTATTCCCCATCCTTCCTCCCTGTCCTCCCTAAACTAGCACTTCCTCATTTCTGTTAGTGATGTGACCATTCTCTTATCTTTATTTTCCTCTCTAGTTCTAAGATTCTAATCATTAAATAGCCCAGTCTTGCATGCAATTTGCTTTAAATCAAGTCTTTGACCTTTATCCTTGTGCTTCATTATATCAATATTTATTGACTTGGAAATATGTTGGTACCAAGGGCACTCTAGAAGGCTAAAAAGTAGGAAGAAGACACAGCAACCATGTTATTGCTGGAACAGTCTGTTCAGGACACTGTTCCCACTACCCCCACTCCACCAGATCACATTTATCTATTCCATATGTCTTTGGATTCAAAGCATTAGAGAGAAGGCCCAGCTGGCTAGACTTTTGTCACAAGCCTTCCTCCTAGCTGAAACCAGAAACTAATAAAGGAAGGATTTGACCCCCCCATCCCAGCTTCCCTCTGAATGGTAGTAGGAGGCAGGCCACTACAATTACCCTTCAATCAAGACACAGTGGGAGAGTGGGGCGCCTGGGTGGCTTAGTCAGTTAAGCGTCCGACTCTTGATTTCAGCTTAGGTCATGATCTCAGGGTTGTGAGACGGAGCCTGGCATCGGGCTCTGCGCTAGGCATGGAACCTGCTTGAGATTCTCTCTCTCCCTCTCCCTCTCCCCCCTTAAAAAATAAATAAAATAAAAATAAAAATTAAAAAAAACACAGTGGGAGAGAGTTAATTGACCAATTGGAAATTATGGGGAAGGCAAAGGAAGAGGGAGGACATCTTAAGCACAGAACACAGCATGAGCGTGCCGAGAACTCTAAGTGGTTTGGTATTGCTATATTGAATAAGGGTGTGAGTGGAGAGGGCCCTGTGTGCTCTGCCGTGGAGCTTGGACTTCAGTCAGCAAGTGAGAGTACAGAAAGGCATAAGCAGAAGGTCTCTGAAGCAGTGGTGGGGGTGGGGAGTTGGTATGAGAAAACCCACCCTTGGAAAGAACCTTAAAGGTCATCTTATCCAACTCTCATCCGTTCCCATAATCTGATTACCAAATGGAGATATCTCTCTTAACCTCTCCCGTGACAGTTTGCCAAGACAAGTTATACCCTTTTAAAGAAAGGCCAGTAGCGAGTTCTTTCTTGTGTTCAGCTGAAATCAGCCTCCGGCAGCTTCTACACTTTGATTGTACTTGGGAGCTCAATCTTACTCAAAACCTCATTTCCTTTTCACTCAAAGTCCTTTCCCCTCAGTCTAAATATGCACAGTTCAGCGACTGTTCCTTGTATGGCCATCCTCTTACCTTCCTGATCACGACCTGGACAGTTTTCAAAGAGCTGGATCCAGCATTAATAGACTAGAAATGGTGGTACCAGCCCAGAGCAGTAAAAGGTGGATTTCCCCCTCATATGGGGGCAGCACAGCAGACATGGCAGGGAGGGGGGCTCTGCCTGTGGCGCTTAATGCCTCTTCACTTCGCAAACAACTCCTCCCCTAACCCTCAGCTCAAGCATCACGGCTTCCAAAGAGCCTTTCCTGCCTGCTTCCCACCCCCCCATCCCCACCCCCCACCTGCCACCAGCCAAGCCGGGCAGCTCCCTTTGCTATCCTCTGTGCTGGCACATCCCACACCATGACTAAACGATCTGCTTGTGTACTGGACTCTCCCAGTCAACCAGTCAAGTGTGAGCTCCCGGAGGGCTGGAACTGATGAGTGACTCAAGGCAGAACCCCCAGTGCCCAGAACGGAGCCAAGCAAAGAATGAGCGCTCAAAAAAAAAAAAGGTTCAGCTGAAGTGAACCGAATCGGAATTTGAGCTGAGTTTTCAAAGGCAAGTAGGCTGTGAATAAGCAAAGGGGAGGAGGCACACATCGTAGATGAGTGCATTCCACTCAAGGCAAAGAAATAAGTGAGTGAAGACTGGGAAGTCCTTGAGATTTGCTAGAGGGCTTCCAGCCAGATTTCGGCTGCAGCAAAGTCATAAACGGAAGGAAAAAAATCAACCTGAGGCTAAATAAGGCAAGCTGGCATGGGGGAAGGTTAGGAGAGATGTATTCCCTTGTGGGCAGGGAGCAAGGGCAGAAAAAAAACAGCAACTGGATCAGTTTTTTCCAGTTGTTCGCCAGTCCCACGACTGACGGGACTGGTGGACAGGGATCCATGTCCCACGAGACAGACTCCTCACGTCTGCTCGGCAAGGAACCCAAATTCAATGCAAGCATTTCTCTTTACAATTAGGGAAGCTTGAAGGTCAGGCCAGGGATCCACTGGAGTCCACAGAGTGGATTTCTATCGAACCTAAGTTGTCTTACTCCCACTCTGCAGCTTTTGCCCCCATGCCCTGAGGATGGCTTTCAATAAATCTTACTTAGTCTTCAGTCAGAAAGGGCCCTTCCTACCTCTATTCAGATGAAAACTAAGGTCCAAAGAGAAGTGGATCCCCTGAGTCACAGAGCTGGTCAGTGGCAAATCTGGGACTAATACTTAGGTCTCCTGACTGGTTCCAACTATCGTTCTGAGAGTGTACAATGAGACAGAGGCAGGATAACCTCAACAGACATTCCCATTCAAGAACGAGAAGCATGAAAGGTCCATAGTCTTCCTTAAACAGAGCAATTCTGACTCTAGCTAGACAAACGCTGTCCGGGCCTCTAGCCTGGAAGAAGGAATCTTCCTTGCTCGGGCCTGGGTTCTACTCCCTGGGAGTGACTCCCTAATCCGTGGATCTCTGCGCCTCTTGGCTCTGCCCTCTGGACCATCCTTCCTTGTCCATCTCCTTCCTTAGCTACTACTGAAGCGGTGGCACATGCTGGAGCTGACTAGCAGTGTGAAATATTTCTCAGTCCCTTTCAGTTCAGGCTGTTGGTATTTTCCCATGTACAACTAATTTAAAAATTTTGTGGGGGGATGCCTGGGCGGCTCAGTTGGTTTAGTGTCCAACCCTTGATTTTGGCTCAGGTCATGATCTCAGGGTCGTGAGATCAAGCCCCATGTCCGGCTCCACGCTGGGTGTGGAGCCTGCTTAAGATTCTCACTTTCCCTCTGCCCCTCCCCTGACCCTCTCTCTCTCTCTCTCTTCCCCTCTCATAAATAAATAAATAAATAAAACTAAGAATTTTGTGGATTTTCTATGTATCCGATTATGGTTGACTCTGTACTCCAAATGACATACTCACAATTGTTTTTGAGACCTCTCCCTCAATTTTATCACGCTATTTTGGATTAGGCTTCTGTGGATATTGCTCTTAGGATTCCAAGACGTCTTTTTGTCTAGGAATCTACGAGACATCACTAATTCTTTCAAAGGGCTTTATAAAGTGTGTTACGGCTACACCTTTGGTATGATCTACATCTCTGGGCTATATTCCTGTAATAACCCTATGCTGGCTAGAGAGCCTCAAGATGAAAAAAGTTTTATTTTTTTACCTACTAAGTCCTGCACCTCTCTGTTCTCTCTAAATTCTTTTTGCCAGTTCTTTCTTTAGCTCGTACCTCTCTTCCTGTTATGAGGTTACACAGCTAGGAACACCCAACTGACACTTTCAACACTCTGCCTAGAGATCTCCTTAGCCAAACAAGAACTTTCTGAGTATTTTCCCCCCCTTCTTCCAAGTTACCATAGGCAACACTTTGGCCAATTGTTTTTGCCATTATAAAACACAGATTGCCATTTTTCCAGCCTCCAATAACAATTTCCTCACCATTTTTCCAGACTTCACTGTTTGCTTGCCATTTTTCTAATCTCCACCCATCCCTGATCCCAAAGCCAAAGCCTAGAATTTGGGGTTTTGTTAAAGGTAAGCATTTCACTTGTAGACACCAGTTTCTGTCAACTTTTGCTGTAAAACAAACTACCCCCAAACTTAGTGGCTGAAGACAACTATTACACCTCTTACAGTTATGCAGTTTGGCAATTTGGACTGAGGTCAGCTGTCTGGCTCTTCTGGTCATAGTGGGGTTCACGTATCAGATGGAGATCTGCTGCCAAGTTGATTGGGTGCTGGTTAGTTTAGGGTGGCCTCAGCTGGGTTGGCTGAGCTCTGCCTCATGTGGCTTCCATATTCCAGCAGGCTAGCCCAGGCTTCTTCCCATGGGTGCCTGGGAAGGGCTCCAAAAGGGAAGGCCAAAGCAGGCAGGCCTCTTGAGGCCTAGGCTCAGAACTGGCACACTGTCCCTTCTGTTGCATTTCATTGACTAAAGAAAGTAATAAGGCCTTCGCAGATGCAAGGGGAGGGGAAATAAGACTCGGCTTCTCAAGAAGGGAAATGCAGAGGTGCCTGGGTGGCTCAGTCGTTAAGTGTCTGTCTTTGGCTCAGGTCGTGATCCCAGGGTCCTGGGATCGAGCCCCACATCGAGCCCCACATTAGGTTCCCTGCTCGGCAGGAAGTCTGCTTCCCCCTCTCCCACTCCCCCGCGTGTGTTCCTTCTCTTGCTGTGCCTCTCTCTGTCAAATAAATAAATAAAATCTTAAAAAGAAAAAA